AACATGATCTTTGTTTTGTCCATGTTCATCTTAAGACCTATCCGTTGGGAAACACTATTGAGGTCATTGAGCATAGTGCTTAGGTCCTCCAGCGATTCTGCCATAAGGACTATATCGTCGGCAAATCGAAGGTGAGTGATGTACTCGCCATTGATGTTGATACCGTATCCTTTCCAGTCCAGAAGCTTGAAAACATCTTCCAATGCAGCGGTGAAGAGTTTCGGGGATATGACGTCACCCTGTCTTACACCTCTCTGCAATTGGATAGGTTTCGTACTCTGGTTCTGTACTCGGATAGCCATCGTAGCCCTACTGTACAAGCACTTCAACACTTCGATATACCGACAGTCAACTTGGCATCGCTGAAGGGACTGCAGCACCGCCCAAATTTCGACGGAATCAAAGGCTTTCTCATAGTCCACATACGCCAGACATAGTGGCAAATTGTACTCCTCGGACTTCTGTACAATTTGCCGAAGGGTATGTATGTGGTCTATGGTGCTAAAGCCTTTTCGGAAACCGGCTTGTTCGGGAGGCTGGAAGTCGTCAAGTCTGCGCGCGAGACGATTCGTAATGACTCTCGAAAACAGCACGTAGACGCGGCTCAGAAGGGAAATCGGTCAGTAGTTCTTCAAGAGAGCGTTGTCGCCTTTCTTGAAGAACAAGACCACCGCACTTCTGCTCCACGCCTCCGGTGTAATGCCACCATGGAGGACGGAATTAAAGAGCTTCTGAAGGACTTCAAGTACCGGTTTTCCACCCGCTTTCAGAAGCTCCGCTGTAATTCCATCCTGGCCTGGGGCCTTGCCGTTTTTAAGGTGCTGGAGAGCCATTCTAATCTCGCTCAGACTGACGTCCGGGATATCATCGGAATAATGTCGGATAAGACTCGCTCTTGGATCGTTACTCACACTTGCGTGTGGCTCCAACGATGACGTGTACAGCTGCCCATAGAACCTCTCAATCTCACTCAAAATCTCAGGTGCCCCGGAAACGATGCTGCCACATTCGGTCTTCAGCTTTGACAGTTGGCTCTTTCTGGCAGACAGATCTCTGGCAAAGACTTTGGAGCCTTGGTTCCGCTCGATCGCTTCTTCAATACGAGCTGTATTGAAGTTGCGTAAGTCCCGCCGCATGCATTTGGAGATCTGTCTGTTCAGTTGCCTGTATGCTGTCAAATCTGTTGAAGAATGTAGCTTCATCTCCCGTCTAACAGCCATGAGATTAAGAGTGTGATCGGAGAGTTTTTGTGTTCTTCTGCGGCGGGTCTTGCAGAACTTAGCTCCGACCGCATGGACAGTTTCCACGAGCTTGTCATTCAAATCGTCCACTTCATTGCAGTCTTCTAGGCACTGAAAACGGTTTTGCAACTCGAGCTGAAAGGTTTCGGGACTTTGGATTAGAGCACGAGGGGGACGGAGCGTTGACTTCATTAGACGAGACCTCTCCAACTTAACGTTTAGGTTCAGTGTGCCTCTAACCATTCGGTGATCGCTGCCGGTTTTCACCCTCGCGATCACTGAGACATCACTGAACAGTTGTCGTCTGGTCGTCATAATGAAGTCAATCTCATTTTTTGTCGAACCGTCGGGGCTCGACCAGGTCCACTTCCTGTGGGGCCGCTTCTGGAAGAAAGAGTTCATCATAAAGAGTCCCTCTTTCTCCATGAAGTCGGCCAACTGCTGGCCCCTTGGGTTCCGTTGCCCTATTCCAAATTTCCCCACTTTCAGCTCACCGTTCTCTCTTGTGCCTAGTTTTGCATTGAAGTCTCCCATTAACACCGTATATTGGGTTTTGGAGGAATGCATGGCTCTAGAGATATCCTCATACATTTCCTCCACCTTCTGATCGGGGTGTGCCGAGGTTGGTGCGTAAACCTGTATGACCTTCAGCGAATACCGTTTGGTGATTCTGAGTATAAGGTACGTAACCCTCGTCGACACACTCTCAATCTTTACAACGTTGTTAACGAGAGACTTGTGGACGATAAATCCGACACCTCCTTGGGACAGATGGTCGCCCTCCCGGTGATAGAGCAAGTTGCCGGATTCGAGGATTACCGTGTCCTCCCCCTCTCTTCGGACTTCGGATAATCCTATAATATGCCAGCGTAACTTGTCTATCTCTTCTTCCAGCTCCACAATCTTCTCGTCAGTCCTCAGGGTGCGTGCGTTGTATGTTGCCAGGTCGAGTCGTTGTAGGTGGCAACCGAACCTCCACCGGAGATTCTTAGCACCCCCTGCCCCGCCGTTACCATGGTCGCCACCGTAGCCAGGAATAGCGGGGCCGCCGGGGACTGGGGGCCGTCTCTTCGTAACTTTCATTATGGGGGGTATATTGCCATAGTTGCCACGCTTGGCGAGCGGGTTGGCAACCGCAGTTTTTTATTGTATTTTGTCGTTACCAGGAAGATGCTGCTGCCCATCTCCTGCCTGTTTCCCTTTGTCGCCTTTTACGACACCCACGGGAAGATATGGGGTAGTGGATATTCTTAACCGCCACTACACGGCACACTATTTTTTAATTATGAACAAATTAAAAATATTATCAATGTTTTGTGTAATATGGGAAATGTGGGTTTCACAAGAATGATCTTTCATTAAAAAATAAAGGTTAATACGGATTTAAACAATCACAGTGGTTTAAACTATTTATATAGTATGTAACAAACAACCCGTTGGTCGTTTTAGGGAAGTAGTTCATAGTACACCTAGTACTATGAATGGGATTATAGCGATTTTAATCAAGTAACTTACTAAATTTAATATTTCTAAAAATGTTATTAGCATCTGAACTAAACGACTCGTGCCGATACACCCTACAATCACTGTGAAGCCTCTGACACGGCCGATAAAGCAATTTATCAAAGCGAGCCGCTGCGCGGCGCGCGCACCATCAGGTTTTGTGTGTGAATAGTCCCCTCAATAGTATCTTTCAAGATGGCGGATCATATATGTTATGCAACCATTGCGGCTATATTTTACAAGAAATAAAGAAATGTTACAAGAGAAGAAAAGCATCAATTCAATTATTATAGTATTCAATTCAGTTGATCTACTGCAAATATTTATACTGTGGCGTGTATTTACCGCACGGAGTTCGCATAAAGTTCTTATGGTTCGCGCCGCATCATGAATAAATACGTCGTGCGTCGCGCTATATGGCGTGAGCTGGGAAAGCGTTATAATTGCCTACAGGCCTGGGATAGCCTCCCCTTAAGTACTTCTGTCAAGCGTGCAAAAAACAAACTGAAAACCGATTGTATATTATCTGCCTCATCGATAAATATATTTAGTGACATACCCAGTTATCGGTACGTTAAGTCAATTTTTTCCCTCCTTTGACCTCTCCCCCCTCAGTCCTTCATTAAGGTACTGGAGATGGTACAGAGAGAAGCAGAACCAAATTGTATTCAAACAATCACTCTGGAAGATACTCCTTTTTATCTTTATACGACTTTCCTAAGCCGCCATTGACTCGACTAAATGACAAAGGATCGTACTCCACTGTCCCATACACTGCCCGAGAAAGTCCCTAGCTGTAAATGGATTACATCTTTTCTTCGCAGTCGGCAGCAGTTAGTTGCATGCTTATATAGAATGCTACAACTAGACATTGGTTGTTATAATGAAAAGAAAAATATTTTTCAAAGAAAATGCCGTACATAGCAAATAACGTTGGAAAAAGGTTTCATCGTCATCATTTATCATTACAGCTCTTCACAAGTCCACTGCTGAACATAGGCCTCTCCCAAAGAATACCACAAAGCACAGTCTTACCAGGTCGTCACTCCATCTAATGGAGGTTCGCCCCACACTTCCCTACCGGTACGAGGCTGCCACTCGAAAACATTACTTCCCCATCAGTTGTCAGTACTTCGAGCTATATGGCCGGCCCACTGCCATTTCAGCTTACTAATCCGTTGAGCTAAGTCGGTTATTCTGGTTCTGCTGCAAATATTCTTGTAGCGGCGCTGTCGTCACGCCACAAGCGAAACACATCGACGCCTAAATCGCGCTAACAAAGTTCCGAAATTAAAGCAGTATATATAGAATAGCTCCGCACTACCAGACTACCACTCGGAGCGCTGGCCGCTCCCCGGCCAGAACACCTTGCCCGGCGGGGGATCTCCCCTTTTCCTTCCACCGGCCACAGTGGTTACCCCGACGTGATTTGAACACGCAACCAACAACCTACGGAAACTACACCTTCAAACCTTCATCATCCTCAAGTACCCCCATTCATTCGCTCCCGAGCAGATATTATCTGCAGTCTTCACATTCTGCAAGCCATCTAGTTATACAAAGGTTCATCGCAGCATTGGAATAATAATGCTTCCTGTTACTTCTAGCTACTCTCTGTGCTACAGTGTTCAGCACGGCTCTGAGCTTTACTGCTCGCCTCTGCTTCACGGCACTCTCGCAGATTACTTGCCTTTTTCTCGACTCACCGCAGACTACAAGGCAATCCCTGGCACTTGCTCCGGCTCATCGTTCTCACCAGCATCACTTGCAAGTGCGTAGTACGGCATGCATTACAGACCGGCATATTGGATCTCCATGGATGGGAGGCACTATTGAGGTCACCGAGCATAGTGCTTAGGTCCTCCAGCGATTCTGCCATAAGGACTACATCATCGAAAAATGGAAGGTGAGTGAGAACTCGCCATTAATGTTAATACCGTATGCTTTCCAATCCAGTTGCTTGAAAACGTCTTCCAATTCAGCGGTGAAGTGTTTTGGGATATAATATCACCGTTTTACACCTCTCTGCAGTTGTATACGTTTCGTACTAGCCCTAATGTACAAACACTTCAGCACTTCGTATACCGACAATCAACTTGGCACTTGAATTTAAAAAGACGGAAGAGGTTTCGTATAATGAGAAATAACAATATAGGACCTAATAATTAGCAATAAGGTTTTTTTATCTCAAACATCAGCGAAACGACACATTTGTTGAATGAGACATGTTTTTGGAAATGATTTGTTTAGTCATACCTGCTATTTATACGGTTAGAGTCGGCTTCTCCCGAGAAGCTATCAGAATCATCATTAAGTGAGGTCTGGGAATCTGAAACATTAAAAACAGTCTAAAAATATTTATATTATAAAGCAGCAATTCTAAATAGCGCAAAACTACATGCTTTTAATGCAATTTGTGTCTTCATGACTATGAAACAATTTATTCTTGGACATGTAGCGAACTCGATAATTTATATCATCTTTATTACAAGTACAAAAAGATGAATACCATTAATTCCGTTCCGTGTAGTGACAGTGTAAGAATATCAACTACCCCATATCATCCCATAAGATAACTACAACGGTATTTTCCTGATAACAACTCAAAGTAATATAAAAACTGCGGTTGGCAACCCGCCAGCCAAGTGTTGCAACTATGACAAAATCCCTCCTTTAAGATTAGTGTGTATAAGAGACCTGTTCAGCAATGGACTTACATATAGGCTGTAAATGATGACTCTTTATTATTTTATGATTTTTTTGTTAGTTAGGCACATTTTTGGTGTCTTTGTTATATATATATTCATTTAATTATTATTAATGGGGTTATTTATTTTTAAATAGAGTTGGAAGAGATAGTATATAATGCTGTTATGGTGTTACCTGCAGTTGTAAGGCGGTGTGTAGTGAGGTAGTCCGCAGAGAGATATGGCGGAAGTTCGTCTGCTGCATCGCCAGCACCACTTTCACAACCTAATGTCTCAACCACCGCCAACCACTGCCCATTGTGGCAACGGAACCGCTCCACCTAGAACGACAAAATCGCTATTAATTTGTATTTAATATTTCCGCTATATAAAATATTGCTAGATTGCTTATGCGATTTTATATATTATTATATTTTATATATTATATATAGAGTTCTTGTAAAAAAAGTAAGAACCATAATGCTGTAATATTTTAAATTATGAAAAGAAAAAGGTTTGGAGTTAATTTGTTGGCCTCTCGATGTTTTTATATTAACTTTCCTAATTTTAATAATCCGCGTGGTTGGTTTATTACTGAAAATAATGATCGGAGCGTCTATAAAATACCGGTTGGATCGAGGTGAATTTGCACACCAATACGTATGCTAGGGACCCCTGTCCCCTGGCATACGTCTGCCAAATATTTAGGTGTCACTCTAGACACAGGGCTAACTTTCAGGCCCCACGTCAAAAGAGTAACCCGTCACGCACGTTTTTACCTGAATAGGCTCAACAGTATGTTGGGCCGACACAGTAAAATGTCCCTCAGAAACAAGCGTACCCTTTATAAGGTCTGTATACGACCAGTCATGTCCTACGCGGGCCCCATTTTCGCCCACTCTAACCCTAAAATTATTAATGAACTCCAAGTAGTTCAAAACCTTTTCTGTCGTCGAGCTGCGAACGCACCATGGTACGTCCGCAATGCCGACCTTCATCGGGACCTAGAGCTCCCTACAATTCAACAATTCCTTAAAAAACTCTCTGAGAACTTCTTCAAAGCCTCAGAGTCGCATTCCAATCATTTTATTCGTGAGGCTGCTAATTATGCAGCCCCACTCCCCTCCCGCTATAGCGTCCGCAGGCCGAGGAACTCCCTCTCGGACCCGCCTAATAAACTTTCAAACGACCTGAACTGCCTCCTGGCGGCTCAGGCCAACTCTAATTAAGTTATTCATAATTAATTTGCCTTCGTAGGCACTCCCTCAGCGACTAATAGCCGCCTGCGCCCTCTTTTCCCAAAAGAGGGTCGCTTACGATACGGCATAAGAAGCTTTAAACAGCTAGTTGCCAGTCCCCAAAGGCGGTTTTAGTGGGTATCACTTAGGTTCCCCAGTAGGTAGTCACAGTGAGTCCCACATAACCACGATAGACCGGCTGTCGTGGTATGCGTAATGCATTTCCGCCTCCCTCCGGGGTAGCCCTTTTCCAATTGCTTCGGGCGCAAAAAAAAAAAGGTGAATTTGAGGGTATATCGAGAAACCCCCACTTGATGCAGTATAAAGTTCACTGTAGGCGCCGTGCGCGGGAGATTCCTCTTAAGTCATTCTAGTAGTGCTAAGATAGTGTCGTGGTTCTATCTGTTATGGTGGTTCTTATTGTGCAGGCAAGGAGGATGGTGTTGCTGAGATGTGTAATGTTGCTGTTGGTTTGCATACTTTGGTGTTATCGTGTAATTACCTTCACGTTACACTGGTCTGTGTTTGTGGCGGGGACGTGTTACGGTGTGGTCGAACTGAAATTACTCTATACTGAATGTATAGTACGTTACACTGTCTTATTATTGATAATGAATAATTCCGTAAGCAAGAGAGTAAGTTGAACATGCACTCTCACACTTTTATTATTTTTAATAATTAATGCTATCCTGATGTATTTCCGAGATCAGAATATATGAATCACGATAATAAGCTTTATTTAAGCATTTACACACCTTTATTCTTGCCGCCCATTCATTTTCCATTTGTGATATTATATCAAGACATGAATCACACATCTTCCGTATTTCTACGTTTTTATCTTGCATTAGGTCAATAAGGTAAGCTGGAGCTTCTGAAAATAAAAACATAAAAAAAAAAGAAACTGAGTGATAATCTAATGCAAAGTTGCAGAAGAAAGTTCCCACCCAGTCTCTATATTGAAATTCCTAGATTTAGAGCGACGAATATTTTGACTTTGGATAGACAAATACATTCTATTTCAATTAAATAAAAACCTTATAATTTGAAAAGCTTTGCTTGGGAGAAGGATGTTTTTTAAAGTTTACAACAAAGTCAAAATTTCTAACAAGATTTGTAGTTCATACAAGTAATCAGAATCATTACTCCCATAATCACTTAAATGAAGGATAACATCAAGTCATGCAAATAATTCTTCGTCTTTTTCTTTACTTTTTGGCTTCTTTTAAAAGAATTCTGTCAATGTCAAATCAATAATCATAACAATTTCCACCAACGAATATATGCTATAACTATTCTTAGTATCTTTGCATAAATAATAGAGCCGAGCATAAACCGAATGAGCACAAAATATCGTGAATACGCACACGCTGCACCTTTAATGTTATTGAGCCATGACGAATCGGACTGACTGCTACGCATTTCATACGAGAACGAAAATATTGTTTTTTTTTTTAAAATAGAATAAGGGTGATAAACCAACAAACAGTTCATCAGATGGTAAGTATCCACTTACCATCTGATGAACTGTTTGCTGTGGCCCATAGATACACTATCACGTCTATTCTTAATTGCATAACAAAATCCAGATGCGAAGTGTTGCTCTTGATTACTAGGATGGAATGTTTCGTATCCAGCAATGAGGGTCCCTGGTTCACTACACTCTCCATACAAAACACAGCAGTATAAGGCTGCTATTTTTGCTGATATTCCGTGAGAGCGTGGTTCTTCCCCGGTCGAGCCGACCCATTCATGCTACAACTGTAATATAGCAACCACGTAAAATGGTAAGGTAAGGTAAAGTATAAGAATAAAAGTTTATTTGGTAGGATCGGAGGCGTCGTCACAATACATATTGCAAAGCACAATATAGGCCAGTTAGTTATGGGCGTGTGAGGCTAGTTAGCTGTGCGTGTGTGAGATTAGGTACCGGTGCGCGTGACGAGGTGGTCCGCGGCGCGCGGGTGCGACAGCAGCTGGCGGAAGGCGAAGGCGGTCTGCAGCACGTGGTCGTCGTCGGCCTGGCGCAGGCGCAGCAGCGCCACCAGCGCGTCGCCGCCGCGCGCCGCCACCAGCGCGTCGGCCGCGCGCTCGTCGCACGCCAGCGCGCCCGCCGCCACCACGCCCTCCAGCACCAGCTCCGGGTCCACCTTGTTGCCTGACGCATACGCTTACAATCTTATACTCCACCTACACCTGTTTTTCCGACACCTAATTATCGCACAATTCGGTATTTTTTAAATATATTGTACCCAGCAACGCTTGACACAAAAATTTGCAGCGATTGTGAGGTCAAAAGAGATGTGTTGACATTTATAGGTGTAACAAAATTTTACTGATACCGGTAAATCGGGTAAATATTGTCGCTTTTAAAATTGTACTGGGTATAATGAGAAGCAAATAGATGCAATCAAATACGGTGAAAATAAATAACCTACGAATTGTTATAACATTTTTTTATTAAATTGTAATTTTGTTCTCTCTACACGTATCATTAAAAATTAGTTTGCAATAAAGTTTTTAGATTCAATTTGCAGGTTACCTCATTTCTACATACTGTATATTCACTTCACGCCTAATCATTCAAAATTGGGGTTAGGTAAACACATTTTGTATGAAAAGTAAAAAAATATATTTCATAATATGTAATTTGATACTTTTTCTTCCAATTTTATTCTTGCTTGGTGTTACTTACCAATACTGTATTATTTACTACTATTGGTAGTTTTTTTTAGATAAGATAAGGTATATTTTTATTTACATAAACCATATTTGCAGTTTTCCTAAAGATCCGAACATAAAAAATATGGTTAGAAGCCACGGGAACGCTTAAGTGGAGGTCTACGAAAAATAATTACATTCACTCAAATATTTTTTTTTTCAAACTGACTTCTTATCCATGCATCACAAAAGATATTTTAAAGTCCAATACAATTGCACGTAAAGAAATTGTATAGATAACATCTGAGAATGTGATGGCTCGAAACAATGAGACAGCACTGAAGAAGAAGAAGATATAAGCTCAAAACGTGATAATCACACATAGGCTGTAATAACTGTTTCCTGACATTATATTTAAGCAAATGGAATATCCTATAAAAATCATATGTAAAATGTGTATTTGAAAAATATATCAATATTCGGTATCATTTCTTTTTGAAAATCTGAGTTGTTAAAAAAACAAACGGCAATTTTTAAACAAATATATATTTTTCCAAGGTTAATGAAAAAAAAAACTTTAAAATAAATTTATAGAAAATATGAAAAAAGGGCTTTGAAAATTTTCGGCAAACACGAAAGTCGGCAAATGTCTTCTAGACGTTTAATGATTACGGATGTGTTTAATTATTACGGCCTAGATGAATTTCTTATAAATGTTACTATGACATAAACTTTTTAATAAATGTTATTATTCTGTAAATACTAGTTTATTTATTAAACGAAGTAATATATTTAAAGAATTATATAGTAGGTTTCATCCTCTCGAAATTCGATCATACCGCGTTGTTACGGCCTACAGCTGCTCCAGCAAGGGTCGAATCTTCTGGGGCCCATGAGCAGAAAATTCCATAAGCAGCCGCAGGTCGGGCCCAAAATGACCACATGGAAGAATTTCCTATAACACTAAGCTATATGGGAGAATGCTAGAAAAACATATTACGTACCTGTTTGCGACTCTTAGATCGCCCCAAGGCTCGGTCAGGCCGTAAGTGGGTGTGAGGTGCATGGCAAGTAGTATTTAGTGATGTGTAAATGTGTGAGACCTTGGCCTCCTTAGGCGAACAGCAGCGGCCGAGTTCCAGGCTGCCCCAAAACGCTGCATCGTTCCAGCAGGGTCCACCGCTGGACCATTTCGTTCCTCCTTGTCACTATTTCAGTCTATCAGCTTCATTGTACATTTAACTAACTTAAACTCGCCTAATTCCACATTCATCGTAGAATCGAACACGTGATACCCGACACAGTTACGGACAGTAGTTCAAAGTTCAACATTCAATGTCCCGGATTCACTTATCACAAAATTATAAAGAGGGAATTAAAGCGATCTCTTAATGAGTCATACTACTCAGCGTTAAACACAACTAAGTTGCTTCATTCGATACCAAAACACCACGTCGCGAAAAGATTCAAAATACGCCTCGTTGACGCGTAAACTAACAAGCCCACACGCACAAAAAAGTGCACTTAACGCGACGGCACGATTATAATTATTTCCTGATGATCAACCGGGAGAAGCTCTCGAACAAGGAATGCGCGGTTCGAATCCTAGACCCTATATCTACTCGACGCGCGCGTGCACAATTCCGCATCCCCGAACAAGTTAAATATTGCAAAATTCACATATCCACGTAAGGAAGTAACACGCACTTAATCTAACTATCTGGACCCGACAACGGTCACGTGAACTTCCGCCGCAATCACGAGCTACGCGGGTTCCCCTCATCACGGCTAGTGGGTATAGTTCATTTCAAATAGGATGGCAGGATTCCACTTGAGACTTAGCAATTACAGCTGTAATGTTAATCTATTGTTGTGTGATTATTTTATTGCTTTAACACTTGAAGTTAAGCATCTGTTGATAATAATGAACCAGTATAGCTGGAATGACGAATTTTGGTACTTGAACATTAAAACAAATTAAATTGTAGATAAAAAACTTTATTACTTTTAACTTAACTATTTTAAATACTTATAACAACTTGTTAATATTTTGTTTAATCAATCACTCTGAAGAACATTCATCGGTATCTGTGTCCTCACACGTATAATAAATATATAATAAATACGTGTGAGGACACAGATACCGATGAATGTTCTTCAGAGTGATTGATTAAACAAAATATTAACAAGTTGTTATAAGTATTTAAAATAGTTAAGTTAAAAGTAATAAAGTTTTTTATCTACAATTTAATTTGTTTTAATGTTCAAGTACCAAAATTCGTCATTCCAGCTATAATATTTTGTTTAATCAATCACTCTGAAGAACATTCATCGGTATCTGTGTCCTCACACGTATTTATTATATATTTATTATACGTGTGAGGACACAGATACCGATGAATGTTCTTCAGAGTGATTGATTAAACAAAATATTAACAAGTTGTTATAAGTATTTAAAATAGTTAAGTTAAAAGTTATAAAGATTTTTTATCTACAATTTAATTTGTTTTAATGTTCAAGTACCAAAATTCGTCATTCCAGCTATACTGGTTCAGTATTATCAACAGCTGCTTAACTTCAAGTGTTAAAGCAATAAAATAATCACACAACAATAGATTAACATTACAGCTGTAATTGCTAAGTCTCAAGTGGAATCCTGCCATCCTATTTGAAATGAACTATAACTCATCTTTTCGCCCACGCGTCGAGCCACTGCCAGCCGCACACCGCTACCCCACCTGGCGGCGTTTTTTCACCTACATACTATCGGGTGACGCGACAACTCGAACGCAATTGGAGGGCGTTCAACATGGTCAAATTTGGGCATAAACAGCGTTCTTTGCAGTAAATTTGGAGGATAAAAGATAGCCTAGCATTTTTAGTGTTTGTTTTTTCCTGAAGTTCGCGGTTTAAAGACTAATAACCGACCAAATTTGTAGTTTTCTTAGCCGTGATAGTTTACCTTATTAACTTGACCAGACATCAAACCATCTCAATCAGTTTATCATAATCAGTTCAGTAGTTTTGTCACGAAAGCTAGACAGATTTTCGCATTACAATAGAAAAGTATGGATTTCGTATACACATGGTGAACAATTCTCCATTTATTTATCCGCAATACATTTTGACAGCAGATTATGTATTTGTCTTATTTTTTCGAAAGTAAAATTTAAAATTGACAACATTAAACGATAGATAAATACATGTTTTGTAATTATATATAGAAAGATATAATTACTAAATAATTAACCGGTAATTTTGAACCTAATTTTGGAGTTTTTAATCAATAAATTTACCAATTGAGGTGCTGTCGACTCTTAAAACATAAATAGCAAATATTATTGAAATATTTCAAAACATTTCTTTATATTTATTTTGAATTTTTTCATATATCGCTGACGACTTCTTGCGTCTTTTTACGATAGATACTTATTGCATCTCCTATTTCCAGCAGAATTACAAATGTTAAAAGAGTGAATATTGTTAATTTATCTGTTAACAAATAACATAGTAGAATAGGAATTTCATTTATATTCGACAGGGCGATATTCAATTTTGAATAATTCTTGCTCATTTATGACGTCCATTCATGATAAAAAGCATGTGGCACACTGCATATACCATATATGGTTTCTATCATCACTTCATGCGTCCGTTAATGACGGAAATGATGTGGCACTTTGTATATTCCGTATATAGTTCGTATGTTTTGCTCACTTCATGCGTCCTTTCAAGACGGAAATTATGTGGCACTCTGTATATTCCGTATATGGTTCCTATGTTTTGCTCACTTCATGCGTCCATTCATAACGGAATTGATATGGAACTCTGTATTTTTGCTCACTTAATGTGTGACCGTCACCACTTGAGACCGTCCCTATCCCGTATGAAATCATAGGAGTTTTCGTAGTGCAACTGTCATACTTGACGAGCTGTCGGGAGTAAGATTCCTTACATACAAATCATATACGGAATATGTATATGATTTGTATGTTTTACTCACTTCATGCGTCCGTTCATGACGGAAATGATGTGGCACTCTGTATTTTTTCTCACTTAATGTGTGACCGTTACCACTTGAGACCGTCCCTATCCCGTATGAAATCAAAGGAGTTTTCGTAGTGCAACTGTCATACTTGATGAGCTGTAAGATTCCTTACGAAGAAATCTTTGTTTTTTTTTTATAGAAGATTTTTTATAGCAAACGAATATGCCGCTCACCTGATGGTAAGTTTCGATTGCCGCCCGTGAACATCTGCAACACTAAGGGAATCGCAGGTACGTTACCGGCCTTTTAATAAATGAGTAGGCTTTTTTTTTGAAGGTTCCGAAGTCGTATCGGTCCGGAAAAAGCGGTGTTGGTAGCCGATTGGACAAGGAAGTTGTGTGAGGAAGAAAAAAAATTCTTGTAAATCGCACAGTGGTATCGCGAGTTTTGTCACGATGTGCGATGGTGAATTGAGCCGCTGCAATAAATCCGAACCATTCCTCATAACACTCTCCGTGGTAGATGCGATAAGATAGGCAAAGAGATGGAACATCTCTTCGCAGTGCTAGTGAATCAAGGCGATCAGAAAGAGCCCGGTCACCGAAAATTCTAACCACTCTGCGCTGGATACGACCAAATGGAAGGAGCTGGCACTGGGAGCCCCAGCCCAGAGATGGGAACAGTATTCCATGTGAAGCCGAAACTGTGCCTTATAAAGTTGCAGGCAGTGTGCCGGCATGAAATGCTGCTGAGCACGCCAAGCTTTTTGAAAAGAAGAGAGACCAAATTGGCCTTCTCTTCCTTGCACGTCATTCGATATGTCGACGCCGAGGATTCCGATACTGGCGGCGGTAACAAGGGGAGTGCCTTGAAACTGAGGACATACGACAAAGGGGTTCTTTTTAGCGGTAAACGCGCAAGCTTGTATCTTCTGGGGATTAAACTGGACTAAATTTAGTCGCCCCCAATCCGAGACATTGTTCAACAAAGTCTCAACTTCAGACACAAGTTTATTCCGGTACTTGGCGACGTTTTCCTGAGAAATATTGGCACGGCCGGTGTATAAAGCATCACTCGTGCTGTCGTCCCCATAACAATGAATGATTTGAATTAATGAACGCTGTAATATATCATTGATATGCAGAAGTAACGACGTTGGTGATAGCACACAGCCTTGTGGAACACTAGCGGTAATTCGCTTGTAATCGGAGCATGCACCGTCTACTACGACATAGATGCTCCAATCTACAAGAAAGCTGGTGATCCAATTGCACAATTTCAAAAGCCCATACGAAGGGAGCTTCTAAAGAAGCGCAGTGTGCCAAACCCGATCGAAGGCCTTCGCAATGTCCAAACTAACGATCAATGCCTCCCCCTTGGACTCTACTACTCCGCCCATCTATGAGTCAGGTAGACCAGTAGATTACCAACTAAAGCCTCAAGATACCTCATGAGCTGGCAGTTTATAATGGATTTCATTATTTTTGATACCAAGGAGATGATGGCGATAGTCTGAGCGGTCGCCATTTTAGGGATCAGGTGGACCAAAGCAATCTTCCATGAATTCAGGACTACGCCTAGAGAGTAGGAGTAACAAAAAGGACGCGTTAAAACCGGTTCCAACTCCGGAGCACACGTCTTCAGCACAATAGGAGTAACTCCATCAGGCCCATTCGACTTGTTAAGGTCCAGGGAGAGGAGTGCTTTGCGCACCGAGCGAAGTGTAAACAGCACATCCTACATGGAGCACTCACGCAGCGGGATGGTCAGCGTCGTGTTCCCCCCGTCATCGTGAGTTGAGTTGGTCGCAAAAGAGAGCTTAGCAGATTTGCTTTCTCCTTTGCGGCATAGGCCAGAGAGTCGTCCTCCCTGTGCAGAGATGGTAGAGATGGCTGACAAGTTCCCTTGGACAGCCTTGGCGAGAGACCAGAATGCACGAGTTCCCGAAGGAAGTCGAACTAGTTTCTTGCCAATTCTGCCGATGCGTTCTGACTGCCTTGCCAATGTCTCTTTTGAAGGATCTGGAGGCGGAATTATACTTTTTAGGAGCGCTTGTGTTTGCATCCCGTTGATGCGTCAGCCCAGGTCCGGTAGCACTCCTGCAAAAGCAGTAAAATTGCATCACACCTTATGCTGCTGCAGCGACATTATCCATGGTAAACGTAGAGCGACTCACATGGCTGGCCCGAAGTAAAGGGCTGGTCCAAGGTAGCCACTGAGTGGGCTTGTCAAGCTCTTGGATATGTATTAGTGGGCTGCGGCTAGAGGAGACTCCTCTCCCTGTATCGCTGCATCGATGCGCCACTCGACTATCCTCCACGACTTTGGCGGGGCTACACTACTTGGTGCTGGGGGTCTGTTGTACAGGTGGAGTTAGAAGCTGCAAAGGGCAGTCTGCCTTGTGTTCCTGGTGTGCCTTATCTGAGAAGAAAAGGGGAAAAGTCAACTAAGGAGAGGCTGCCATTGGGCGGCTGACGCTGGTGGGGTCGCGGAAGTGTTTGAAAGCGTTTTCGTGGCCCTGCCAATGTGCAGCGAACGTGGAACACCATGGGGTTTTAGTAGGTGCGAGTAAGACATAACCCGTTCTTGCCCCCGCGAAGCGGGTATGCGTAGGCATTTCCTTCCTAAAACCCAGAACAAAATCCGTTCTGTGGTTACGAATAAAAACGTAGATAGACCGCAGCGTCGGTCATGGTTTTATATGAGATATAAAGCTTGCGTCTAAGGCCTAGGTATTATTTGATACATTTATTTATTGTATGACATTATATTAATATGATTCATAAATAGAATGGACTTTACGGGTGGGCCTCGGTATAGATCTGTCTCTATTATTAGTTCCTTGGACGTTCATTTCTGCTGTCAGCGTCAAAATGGCGAAAATCAAATCGCTTCATTGTGTCACGGTCAGTGTAGAGCCAGTCCTTAGAGATCAGTGTCTATCCTCGATTAAGAATTAAAATGCAGATGCGTTGGCATCTCTAAGAACTAATATGATATGACTCGATTCCAGTAAAAAGAGTCGCTATACTCACCATACAAAACAAAGCAGCATTAAATTGCTATTTTACGCTAATATTATGTAAAAGCGTGGTCCGTTCCCGGTCGAAGGAACCCATTCATGGTTCTACCATAATATAGCTGCAACATGATTCTACCACACATAAATTTTACTTTGAATCTTATTTTTTTGATAATAGGGTCCTCACAAATTATCATAGTTCGCAAGGGATTGCATATTTTATAGTAGAATATATAAAATTACATAACTAATAAATTGAATAGAAGTAACCATCTTTTCCATGGCTAATTTTAACATACTTGGATCTAAAATCTTCATGATACATGGTATAAGATTGTATCTCTCGACAACTGCATATACGTCAATATTGTTGCTTAAACTTAGAATGTTGCTCAAAGTTCCTAGACATTCTATAACAAACTCTTCCGATGCTTCACCACTTGTTACTGCTCCAGCAATGTCGCCCACGAACTCCTGCAAATAAAATGACTTTGAAATACTTACGCACTTTTAGCAACTACTTAAGTAAAGAGCAATGTTTCAACAATGTGAGAAACATTGTTTTCTTTCTTTTTCTAAGCTGTTTAGGATGTGGCAGTTTTTTTTAATTATAAAGTTTTTCTTATGTACACTTAAATTTTTATCTCAGTCCAGGTGTACCACAGAAACATAAATTCCAGTTTTTGGTCAAATTTGATAAAATTTATTCAATATAAGTTTTAATTTGAAGATAAGAAAATATTAAATATGTAAATATATTTTATACTAGCACCATTTTGGTCCTAGATAATTCTATTTTATAATGGAAAATCAATATGTCATGTGATACCTGTAATAATTGATGGATTGTCCTGGATCTGGATGTTTAATCATGTGCAATTTATATAAATATAAAGGAAGCCTCTGCATTACAACAGTCACGGGTAAATGCTAACTTATGATGGTGTTTACACTAGTGTCAATGGAAACTAATGGAAATGGGATATAATAAGTTACGCTATTGACCTTTAGAACCATTGACTTATATATTACTAGCGTAAGGATCGGGCCGACCGCTCAACTAAATGGCAACAATGCGTTGGCCTTAAAATGTCACTTTACGAGTCCACTTTTCCATTTTTCCATTTTACTATGTTCTTATGGTTGGATTCAGACTTACTATTTGTCCAAAATTATACCACGTTTGACGTTTCATGTTTTCTTTTCATGTGCCGAGGTTTTGGCGTCACACGTCTCGTGTATCTTACATTTTGTTTGTCGACGTTTTTGTTTTGAATTGAAATAAAATTGTATTACGATATCATGTTCATAGCAAATTCAAAAATATTGCTATGACATGTTCATATTGTCTGTCAGAACGACCGGGATAATAAAACATCATATGAGGAATCCCCGCTTACCCGGTGGTTACCTGATTTGGTGTTGCCGTACATACAATAATTTTCGATATTGTAGAGTAAATATTAAAAAGTTAGAGGACCCACCAATAATACAAGTCGGTCGACCTGAAGACAAAATTACGGTATTTTCGCATAGTATTGTATAAATGTTAAGCACCAGCGAAACACGCCAAACATGTACTAGGTACTAAATTACTCTGGGGTTATTTTACCACTAATTTATGAAATAGTATTATTGAGAAATAAATGTATTTTTATTCTTATTTATTATCATACTACACTATGAAATAATGGTAAAAATAGTATAATTATTATACTAAGAAATCCAATCCTGATTACGTCGTTGACCAATGTAACACGGCACTCATGTAGTTCGTATATGTTAGGACAGATGGTGCTGCTTTTGCTTGTATGAAGAAGGTATAAGTAAAATGTTTAGATGGATGTATCCTTCCTTTTGAAATCATTGTTTAGAAACAATGTTAAGGGTTCATTGACACACTCACGAAGTTTTCACACAAAACTGTCAATTATATAGTTATATTTATAATACAAGAAAGTATATATGATCTGGAACCCACCACAAATAGAGGTTTTGTTTGTGAATGATGAGACAAATTGCGTACGAGCTTCATTAGCATAGCGTTCCTATGTCGGAAGGCTCGCGCGAGCAATTCTCGGAGACGTCCCTCAGCCGCCATTTGTTGAGCTGCACGTTCGTTCCATGCCAAATTTACGCACACGGCCAGCAGCACGTCCGTTGTACCAGGTCCGCTGTCAATACTCGACTCGCTATTCACATTCAGTAACAGCATGTCCGTTAACTATAAAATCCATATAATAAAAAAAACAGTTTAAAAAACGAAAACATCATACGAATCCTAATAACTTTTAGATATCAGGAGAGCATAAATAAGCCACTTATCACATAACCACCAGTTGAACTTTGTGCTTGTTTGTATGTTGTAGAGCCGGATATATTATGGTTGTAGTATGAATGGGTCGGCTTGACCGGTGTATGACCAAGCTCTAAAATAATAACAATAAAATAGTAACTTAATGTGGATGTGTTTCATATGGTGAGTATAGAGAACCGGAGACCCTTTTCTACCGACTTCAAAAAGGAGATGGTACTCATTTCGAAGGCTTCGTGGCGCAGTGGCTTAGCAATCAGTTGTGGCGCTGGGGGCCGCGGGTTCGAATCCCACACGGAACAAGTATTTGTATGGCCTACAAATAATTGTTCCGGGATGTTTGTCCTAGTGCAATTTTGTTTGTAAACTGCCTCCACGACACAGGAGAAAATCCTAATGTGAGGGTGACGTTTTTTAAAAAGAATTAAAAAAATTCGACTGTATGTTTTTTTTTCTTTTTTTATGTGTGTTACCTCATAATTTTACTGGGTGAACCGATTTCGATGATTCTTTTTTTATTTGAAAGCCGGTGCTTCCCATGTGGTCCCATATAAATTTGATCAAGGTCTGACCAATAGTGTTTGAGTTATTCTTAATAATTTATATTGAAGTCGGCGGTACAAAATTTTTAATTTAAAATTAGTTTTTTTTTTATAGGAGAGGGGGCAGACGAGCATGCGGCTCACCTGATGGTAAGTGACTATGGCCGCCCATGAACATGAACAACTGCAACACCAGGGGGGCCAGGGGAATTGCAGATGCGTTGCCGGCCTTTTTAAAAGCAGTAGGCTCTTTTCTTGAAGGTCCCTAAGTCGTATCGGTCCGGAAAAATCGCTGGCGGTAATCGATTACACGAGGAAGTTGTGCGATGAAGAAAACATCTTATAAATCGTACAGTGGTGGACCGCCAATCATCCAGATGGTATGGATGGTATCGCAAGTTTTGTCGCGATGTGCGATGGTGAAATTGAGCGGCCGGAATTAGTCCGGACAATTCCTCAGAGCACTCCCCGTGGTAAATGCGATAAAATACGCAAAGAGATGTAACATCTCTAGCAGCATCTCTTGCAGTGCCAGTGTATCGAGTCGATCAGAAATTCGAACCGCTCTACGCTGGATGCGATCAAGTGGAAGGAGCTGGCACTGGGGTGCCCCGGCCCAGAAATGAGAACAGTATTCCATGTGAGGCCGGATTTGCGCTTTGTAAAGTTGCAAGCGATGTACCGGCATGAAATACTGTCTCGCTCTGCTGAGCACGCCAAGTTTTTTAGAGGCCAGTTTAGCCTTCCCTTCCAAGTGATCACGAAACTGCACACTATTCGATATTTCGACGCCGAGGATTCCGATGCTAGCTGAGGCAGCAAGGGGAGTGCCTTGAAACTGAGGAGATACGACATAGGGGTTCTTTTTAGCGGTAAACGCGCAAACTTGTGTCTTCTGGGGATTGAACTGGACTAGATTCAGTCGCCCCCAATCCGAGACTTTGTTCAGCAAAGACTCGACTTCAGACACAAGTTTGCCCCGGTACTCGGCGACGTTTTCCCGAGAAATATTGGCACGGCCGGTATATAAGGCATCACCAGTGCTGTCATCCGCATAGCAATGAATGCTACTGGTTTGCAACATATCATTGAAATGCACGCAGCCTTTTGGAACACCAGCGTTGATAGGCTTGAAATCAGAGCGTGCACCGTCTACTACGACCTTGATGCTCCGATCAGCAAGGAAACTGGTGATTCATTTGCACAATTTCTCGGGAACCCCATAGGAAGGAAGGTTCAAAAGAAGCGCTTTGTGCCAGACCCGATCGAAGGCTTTCGCTATGTCCAAACTAACGGCCAATGCCTCTCCCTTAGACTCTACTGCCTCCGCCCATCTATGAGTCAGGTATACCAGAAGATCACCAGCTGATCGACCCCGACGAAAACCATACTGGCGGTCACTAATCAGCTGGTGATCCTCAAGGTACCTCATGAGCTAAAACTACTGTACTGTAGTACTGTAAACACCCCCGTATAGTGGCGGGTTCTTACCCGCTTAAGATATGGGGTAGTGAGTATTCTTATACTCACTACCCCATATCTTCCCGTGGGTGTCATAAAAGGCGAAAGAGGGAAACTGAGGCAGAAGATGGACAGCAGTATCTTTCTGATTGACCGCATTTCTACAGCATTTATTCTACTCTCATGCTTTTTCTGCCAGACCCAACTTTCACTACCATACATTAAGGTAGGGACTAACACAGCATTATGAATTGCCATACGTGCCTTATTTGACACATTCTGACTCCTCATAATAGCGTGTAGAGCCCCATTCACTATATTTCCTGCGTTCACTCGTCGTTCTATATCCTTATCATATCTACCATCCCGCCGTGTAGTGGCGGTTAAGAATATCCACTACCCCATATCTTCCCGAGGGTGTCGTAAAAGGCGACAAAGGGAAACAGGCACGAGATGGGCAGCAGCATCTTTCTGATAACAGCAAAAAGGAATAAATAACTGCGGTTGCCAACCCGCTCGCCACGCGTGGCAACTATGGCAATATACCCTCCACCCCCCCCCCACTATGAGCAATGACACTAATAAACGGCCTCCAGTCCCCGGCGGCCCTGCTATTCCTGGCTACAGTGGCAACCATGGAAACGGCGGGGCAGGGGGTCCTAAGAATCTCCGGTGGAGGTTTGGTTGACACCTACGACGGCTCGACCTGACAACTTATAACGCACGCACCCTGAGGACTGACGAGAAGATCCTGGAGCTGGAAGAAGAAATAGACAAGTTGCGCTGGAATATTATAGGATTATCCGAAGTCCGAAGAGAGGAGGAGGACACGGTAATGATCGAATCCGGCAACTTGTTCTATCACCGGTGGGTGACCATCGACAGTCCCAAGGAGGTGTCGGATTTATCATCCACAAGTCTCTCGTTTACAACGTTGTAAAGATTGGGAGTGTGTCGACGAGGGTTGCGTATCTTATACTCAGAATCACCTAATGGTTGCTGAAGGTCATACAGGTTTACGCACCAACCTCAGCACATTCCGATGAAGAGGTGGAGGAAATGTATGAGGATATCTCTAGAGCCATGCATTCCTCCAAAACCTACTATACGGTGTTAATGGGGGACTTCAACGCAAAACTGGGCTCAACAGAGAACGGTGAGCTGAAAGTAGGGAAATTCGGAATAGGGCAACGGAACCCAAGGGGCCAGCAGCTGGCCGACTTCATGGAGAAAGAGGGACTCTTTATGATGAACTCTTTCTTCGAGAAGCGGCCCCACGTGAAATGGACCTGGGCGAGCCCCGACGGTTCGACAAAAAATGAGATTGACTTCATTATGACGACCAGACGACAACTGTTCAGTGATGTCTCAGTGATCAGTTCTCAGTCTCAGCGAAGGTGAAAACTGGTAGCGATGACCGAATGGTTAGAGGCACACTGAACCTTAACGTTAAGTTGGAGAGGTCACTTCTAATGAAATCAACGCTCCATCCCCCTCGTGCTCTAATCCAAAGTCCCGAAACCTTTCAGCTAGTCACAAAATCGTTTTCAGTGCCTAGAAGATTGCAATGCAGTGGACGATATAAATGACAAGCTCGTGGAAAATGTCCATGCGGTCGGAGCTAAGTTTTGCAAAGCCCGCCGCAGAAGATCACAAAAACTCCCCGATCACACTCTTAATCTCATGGTTGTTAGTAGGGAAATGAAGTTGCAGTCTTCAGTAGATTTGATAGCATACAGGCAACTGAACAGACAAATCTCGAAACGCATGCGGCGGAACTTACGCAACTTTAATACTACTCGTATTGAACGTATAACTCGTATTGAGCGGAACCAGGGCTCCAAAATCTTTGCCAGAGATCTGTCGGCCAGAAAGTGCCAACTGTCGAAGATGAAGACCGAATGTGGCAGCATCGTTTCCGAGACACCTGAGATTTTGCGTGAGATTGAGAGGTTCTATGGGTAGCTGTACACGTCATCGTTGGAGCCACACGCAAATGTGAGTAACGATCCAAGAGTATCCCGGACGTCAGTCTGAGCGAGATTACAATGGCTCTCCCGCCCCTTAAAAACGGCAAGGCTCCAGGCGAGGATGGAATTATAACGGAGCTTCTGCAAGCGGGTGAAAAACCGGTACTTAAAGTCCTTCAGAAGCTCTTTAATTCCGTCTACCATGGTGGCACTACACCGGAGGCGTGGAGCAGAAGTACGGTGGTCTCGTTCTTCAAGAAAGGCGACAACGCTCTCTTGAAGAACTACAGAACGATTTTCCTTCTGAGCCGCGTCTACGTGCTGTTTTCGAGTCATTACGAATCGTCTCGCATGCAGACTCGATGACTTCCAGCATACCGAACAAGCTGGTTTCCGAAGTCTTTAACACCATAGACCACATACATACCCTTCGGCAAATTGTACAAAAGATCGAAGAGTAAATCTGCAACTTTGTCTTGCGTATGTGGACTATGAGAAAGCCTTTGACTCCGTCGAAATTTGGGCGGTGCTGCAGTCCCTCCAGCGGTGCCAAGTGGAGTGTCGGTATATTTAAGTGCTGAAGTGCTTGTACAGTAGGGCTAGGATGGCTATCCGAGTACAGAACAAGAGTATGAAACCTATCCAACTGCAGAGAGGTGTAAGACAGGGTGACGTTATTTCCCCGAAACTCTTCACCGCTGCATTGAAAGACATTTTCAAGCTACTGGACTGGAAAGGATACGGTATTAACGTCAATGGCGAGTACATCACACACCTTCGACTTGCCAACAATATAGTACTTATGGCAGAATTACTGGAGGACCTAAACACTATGCTCAATGACCTCAATAGTGTCTCCCAATGGATAGGTCTTAGATGAACATGGACAAAACAAAAATCATGTTTAACGTCCATGTCACACCTATGCCAGTAGTTGTTGGGAGCACTAAGCTCGAAGTTGTTGACGAATATGTCTACCTGGGACAAATAGTCCGACTAGGTAAGTCCAACTTCGACCAAGAGGTCAATCTACGGATTCAACTCTGCTGGGCAGCGTTCGGGAGATTTCGACACATCTTCTCGTTAGACATACCTTAGAACCTCAAAACTAGATTGTTAGTGATGACCTATGGATCTGAGACATGGTCCTTCACTGCTGGCCGTATGACGAAGCCCAAAGTCGCTCAGCGAGCTATGGAAAGGGCATGCTCGGCGTTTCTCTGCGTGATAGACTTAAAAACGAGGACATCCGCAGTAGCACCAGAGTAACCGACATAGCCCAAAGAATTAGTATGCTGAAGTGGCAATGGGCCGGCCATATAGCTCGAAGAACCGACAACCGACGGGGAAGAAAGGTTCTCGTCGTCGTCCCCCCACTAGATGGAGTGACGACCTGGTTAGATACGCAGGAAGTCGATGGATGCAGGTGGCTCAGGACCGTGCTTTGTGGCATTCCTTGGGGGAGGCCTATGTTCAGCAGTGGACTTGTGAAGGGCTGTAATGATGATGAATGTAAACAAGGCATTCCATCTTAGTCCTCAGGGGTGACAACGCATCTGTATTTTGATTCTTAATCGAGGTTGGCTGTAGATGTCTATGGGCCACAGCATCCACTTACCATCAGGTGGACTGTGTGCTCGTTCATCACCCATACTAATAAAAAAATACTTATTCGACACAAACAAAGCCTATAACTAGATGCTCATCAATACATAAGACATACCCTTAATTAGCACCTGCAACTTAATATCAAAATGTTTGCTGACCTGATATGCTGAAGGAAGACACAAAAATGTCTTTTTTACAATTTTTTTAAAAACACGACATCATGATGGGACCAAGAAGCTTGATTTTTGTAAAAAAAAAAGGGGTAAACACTTCAACCAAAGTTTATAAACAGACTGTCTTGGATTGCATAGTAAAATTCCTTAGTAATATATTTACAAAAATGTAACAGGTTTTCCAACAAGACTACTCTTAGTCACAAGTCAAAAAAATGTCAAACATGGCTCAATGACAATTTTATAGAATCAGAAGCAATGAAGTCTGGCCCTCGTCTTGTCCAAATCTTTGACCATAAAACTACAGTGTGGTTTTTGGTATAAAAGGACATGACCTGCTCAAAATAAAAATGTGCATTTTAATGTGTAACTGAACTTATGGCCATTTATTTATTCTTAATGTTTTACAAAAATGTATAAAGCACTGTTTTCCTTATAATTAATGGATAATTTTTACTCACCAATTTTACACAGTCTGATTGGGTAAACATCAGTTTTACACGATCATCCATACTCAAGTGGTAAAGAATTTTCATTGCCAGGTTTATATGTTTGTCATCACCTAATAATGCAAGGATTTATTAAATTAAAATACTCAATTATTAAAAACCACTAAAAACTACCACTAAACTATAATTTGTTTAATTTATGTCAGCAATATGTTTCATAAGAATTTGTTATTCCATAAAATAATACATATTAGTAGTTATGTAACTATTTACGTACCTAATCAACTATATAAAAAAATGAAAAACAAAAATTAAGAAATATGATATCTTTCAAAATAAAGATTACTTAAAACTTACTTGTAAATTGTATAAATTTTGGTAACAGATTAATCTTGACCATTTTATTACGTAATTTCGTGTCAAATGTTAAGTTAAATAGAAGTTTTAAAGTAACATTGACCAGATCAGCATTAGGAGAATCTAACAAGGGAGCTAATTTCTCAACAATTCCTTTAGAAGCCATTGTATTTTTATTTTCAATAAAAATAGATAACTTTTGTAGAAATGAAACAATAAGAATAAGGAGATCAATATTTGAATGTCTTTCCATTGCTCCAATAAGTAGTCCCACAATATCCTTTTTATGCATTTTTTCCTCAACTTTAATGTTATCAGCAATGTTAAGTAACATGTAGAAAGCAACTCTTAGAAGTTGTTCTTGTCTCTTAGATAATGTCTTCAATTTCCGTTTCATTTGTTCCTCATCATTTTTAGATAAATATTCGTCTGAAGCATTGCACAAATCTTCATGATAGCTTGATACTAATGATCGTGACTTCTGTAAATTTACATCAGCAACAGCCCAAGTACCAGATTTTGGACGACGCTTGGGCTCAGGAATTCGACTTTTTGGTAATTCATTCTATAACAAAATAAATATTAATTCTATTATATTATAAATAAAAATGACTTGAATTTCAAACAGAATTTGGGTATAGCCATAATATAGTATAAAGGAGTAGTTGGAAATAAACGCAAACATGTTAATTAAAACACAGATTTACAATTATATTATTCCACTGAAACATCAAAAACAACAAACAGATATGATTATTACTTGATATTTCAATCCAAATCAATCTACCAATTATATTTTTGAACAAAAAGTATGTTTGTAACATTTTTATGTATCTTACTATTGATTATATTTTTCCTGTACAAAAATAACTTCATAAACGTAAGAAAAACTTAACTTTACAAGTTATTTGACTTTCCTTAACTTGTAAGGTCACATTAGACTGCAAGGTAATGTGTATGTAATTAAGAATATATTTTATAATGAATAGGCTAATGGACAATTTTTAAATGGTTACATTAATATAAGTTATAAAAAATATGGGTTCCCTACACATATTTTACATTTTGTTTATATACATTTACAACTTCATTATATAGAGATCAGCACTTGCCTTATCTGGTGTGAGTAATTGTTTTTTCCCTTCAACTCTTTCTTTCCACTGATCATATCTTTTAAGTTCATAGTCTATAACATCCATACACAAAGAGCCTATTTTATATTGGATTATTACTGAGTGAAACTCAATATATGTAGAAAAGCAAAAAAATGTATAAACAATGTTGGTACTTAATTCAATACTTCTTTTCCATTCTTCCCTTAAAACCCTGGATAGAGCACTCAATAAGGCTTCTGTAATAGATAACATAGTATTAGTAAAGCCTATGTAACTAGATCATATTTTGCATAAGTTGGTGACAAACAAGCAAACAGTACACCTGATGGTAAGTGGTTGCTGTGGCCATAGACATTTACATTTATCCTCAATTACGAATCAAAGGGCAAATGTGTTGTCACCCATAAGGTCTAAGATGGAACGCCTCGTTTCCAGTAAAAAGGGTCTCCGGTTCTCTACATTCACTATATGAAACACAGCAACGTTCAGGTGCTATTCTGCGAGCCTATTCTTCCCGGTTGAGCCGACCCATTTGTGCTACAACTATACCATTAATATAGCTGCAGCATGACTCTACCACATAATGGCACTGCTGTTGCTGTGCTCCAGCCTGAAGTGTATAGAATCAGTATAATTACAACACATCTGTAGCCTTCTTTGTGTGAAGTTTGCCACAAGTATCCATGGACTGTAGTAGCCACAAACTCAGTGGGGACTGTTTGCCACTTTTTGTCATTAAAAAATATATCACTATTTTTTTTTGTAGAAATTGGTCCCCTCCCTAGTCTTTTCGAATCATTTATTGTCCGGTGGAAGGCGCTAGCGTCTGTAATACAGTTTTTACCATAAAACTAGTACAGCTGCTAACGATCAACCATATCTTAGAAGTAAGTTGCCAAAAAAAAAAATCAAAACGACTACTGTAATAGTTTAAGATACCCTGCATGTAAACAAAGTGATTAAATAAATTTATTATTAATTTATTATTATTATTATTTATGCTGCAGTGTGGCTCAACCACTAAAAAATCATATAAAAAATATAAGATATAAGTTACAAGAAACATAAATTAATGTTACCATTTCTAGCTAACTCAATTAAATTATCAGGATTTCTAGCAAGTTGCAGAATAAGAGCAGATCCTTTTATTTTTTCGGGTATATCATCGTACAATAGTTCAACATAATCATCAATACAATTTAACACTGCCACTGGCACACTTTCCACTGGACTCATAGTTGTTATATCTGTAATGTTTAGAAATATTAACATGTCAACATCAAGCAATCAATCAAAACTATAAAATGTACTCGGTGTTCAAAACTAATAGTAGGCAATGCCAACATTTTTTATGCTGTGTATTTGTAAAATATAAAATTCGAAGTCAAATAATTACAAGGACATTAGAAAGTAGGTTTTTAAAACGATAATAAAAACAGCAACATCAATAAAATAATTTGCTTTTGTCGCTAAAAATATATTGTTTTTATGCAATTCTATTAATGTACATATATAACGTAATATAATAGAACGTAAAAAACAATTAATAGGTACCTATTTATATCGATTATTTGCTTTGATAGCAATAAAGCGTAGTAATTATATAGGTATTCTTTGACTATGGATTAAGGTACCATAGAAATAATCACTGTAATTGAATTATTAAAATGGTAAGTTGTATGTAGGTACTCTCAAAGATTATAACTTAGAGAGTTAATACGTAAATTCCTTTTGTCCTTTCCATTAATTATCATACTAAAGGTAGGTATAGCAAAATATTTTATCACTATCAGGGTATCATGAGCACAAACCACAAACTATATAGAATAGAAACACTACGCATAGGGATGTTCGATGATCATCGATGTCAAAAATGAAAACATCAATGTATTAACATCGATGTTGCTACAAGACAAACATCGAAACATCGATGTCAATAAACCCATAATTCACTAGGTGGTGGATTATTAGGTACTTGCAAACACTGCGAACCCGCGAAATCAATATCAACTAAATCTTGCATCTCCTCTAAAATATTTAAAATTTTTAATGAATCAGAAAGCTTGAACGCATCGATAACTTAAAAATATATCATTATGGTGCATCAAAGTTAACTAACAAGTGTCAACTGTAATGTCGCAGTTGTCACTGATTTCGTTTTATTATTGATGTCGTTGTTGGTAGTCTGTTTCTTTGTCGGATGTTTTTAAAAAAAATCCGATGGTTGATATTAAACACGATCCAATTCACGTTTAGAACAATGTTATTGGTTCTACCTATATAAAATAAAAAATAAAAAACTTGCGGTGAGATATTTGACCACAATCGCTACATCAATGCCATCTGAGCGGTTATCTACCAACTTCATAAAGAAGGAGGTACTCAATTCGACTGTATGTTCTTTTTTTTGTGTTACTTCATAACTTTTTTCTGAGTAAACCGATTTTAGGATTCTTTTTTTTTATTTGAAAGCTGGTGCTCGTCATATGTTCTCATATAAATTTGACCTATATAAGTCTGACCAATAGTTTTTAAGTTATCCTTAAAAATTTTTATTGAAGTCAGTTGTACAAAATTTTTATTTTTTTAATTATTTTCAATAGTTGTCGCAACTCTTTATCAACAGACAAACAGATTGAAAGGTACTTCTTTGTCAAAATTACTATTTCTTCAATCAATCATCAAAAATATTGGACTATATAACAAATGAACCGGATACTTCTTCAATTTTATATTAATTACTGTTTTACGCTAAGTTGGTTATTAATTTCTTTTATTTCATTAGTTATAAACCATAAACAACATGACAATTTTCTTATTCATCTAATTCTAACCTATTAAATACATGTGCAAAAAACTTCGATAATGGCCAACATCGATGTTTTGAGTAGGATAAACATCGAACATCGATGTTGAGCTATCGATATCAACCTCGATGTCTTCATCGATGTTACTACAACATCGAACATCACTAACTACGCGTCTACAAACAAACCAAAACTAACTAGATTTTTTTTAACTGGCTTTACAGCTCTGGGTTCTTGCCATTCTGAGCCTGTAGTTACAACATATAATTACCTATCTTTAAAAATTAGAAATCTCGCGAACGATACATTCATCAAAAATTCACTTTCATATCGATTCACATACAGTTTGTTTGCGTTTTAAGTTTAAGTACGGCGCCCTGGTACGAGCAAAAAATACTTGCAAGTATGAAAGTATGTGTTGTAAGTCTCGAAGAACTTGGAACACTAAATATGAAAATACTTGCATAGGAAAATGATCCATATGTTAATGTAAATAAGAAACTTAATCGTATTTGTGAATAAAGAATACCTTGAACTTCAAAGTATTTTTATCATTTATACGACTTTGCTCCTTATTTATAGTAGGATAACATGGAATACGGATCGAATTCCTATAATTTTAAAATTTTGATATCGCATCTGGACACGTCGTTCGCGTCGCAAGCAGCGCGGGGCTCGCTCGTAGCGTTAGCGGAGGGGATGCGCAGGGAGGGGGTTGTCGAGCCTGAGTATTTCCATATTTCCAAAAAAGGTGAAATGCCATCCGATCGGGTCGAGAATTTGTCAATCAAACTAGCTAAGTTATAATAAACATATTAAGGAGCATAATTGCGTAAACATGCTATTCATAAAAATTCTTTTGACTATTCGCACCATTCACCCTTATATCTATCTATATTCAAAAGAGCAATTATTGCGTATATTTTATTTATTTGTAAGTAATAAGTATGTTTAATTTCGAGGAAGCAAAAGTATTTTTTTTCAATTTTTTTTTTGTAAATTCAGTTGTTATCGTGAACTGATTACGTTAATTACTCACCGTGACCTAATTTTGCAATTGGTATTTCGCGTATTTACGTTTAATTTTAGTTTTAATTTTACGTTTAGTGAATTTAGAGACATTTTTAAACTTTTATTAATTAGAGTTTAGTCCTAAGCCTGTAATTTAAAAAGCAGGAAACCAAGATATCCTTTCGTTAACAAAAAAAAATTTAAAAACGTTCAGTCATAATTTAAAATTAAAAATTTTGTACAACCGACTTCAATATAAATTATTAAGAATAACTGAAAAAACCATTGGTCAGACCTTGATCAAATTTATATGGGACCACATGAAAAGAAGTACCAGCTTTCAAATAAAAGAATTATCGAAATCGGTTCACCCAGAAAAAAGTTATAAGGTAACACACATAAAAAAAACATACAGTCGAATTGAGTCCCTCCTTTCTGAAGTTGGTAGAAAATTGTGGCCCACCTCGAACTAGTCATTCATGTATATATATTGACACTAACCGGTTTTAAACTACCAGGTTTTAAAAATACTTTCAAGTATTTTTAAAACCTGGTATTTGACCCTGGTATTTTTCCATACTCGTACTTAGAAGACCTGGTCCCTGGTATTATATTTTGCAAGTACCTATGTCTCATCTCGAGTAACCAATTTTGATTTGTCATTGTGTGCGTTACCTATACTCAACCAAATCTAAAAGGCCTTCTACATAGTCGGAACCAACCACCAACCGTCGTGACCTTGGTCGGGTCAACCGATTTTTGTATTCGTTCTACACGGTCGGGTGGTTGACACTTGACACAACTTTGTCAGTTCTCTCCGGTATTCAAAGCGTAAAGACGTAAGGAAATTACTTTTAAATATAGCTCCTTGCTTTTCTAAACAAGAAAAAATCGGTTTAACGTTACCGTTTCTGTGCTTGAGCGAAGATGAAAAAAAAATGGTATAATTGTGGCTGAAAGAGCGCATTACTTTGAACCATCTCAATATTTTAAGGATTCTTGATTCTGAAGACTTTCGGAATTTTCTAAGAATGGATCAAGATACTTTTAATAAATTACTTGAGATGGTGCGTCCAATGATTACTAAAAAAAAAATGCAGATTATATAGATAGATTTGGTTGAGTATAGTGATGTACATTTCAATTACTAGGACTATCGAAAAATTATTGTTAAGGTAGCGGTATAAAGATATAAAAAAAAATGGTTTAGTGCACGAAACTGAATAACTTCAAAAATTTACTGAATTTTTACCATGATCATTCGTTATAAATAAAATAAATAATAATGTAAATAAAAAAAATATTCATAAAACATGTTACCGGAAATAAGCTGTACCTACCTGCCTTTTGTTGGATTTTAATTCAAAATGTATAGTCCCAATAATCTCTGAAGAGGTGAGTCTACCGCTGTGGCGTAGCGTGCCTTAGATGGGCCCTGTATCAAAATTTGTTGGGGGGCCCCAATGAAGAGTAAAGATTTCATAAAAGGAACAAGAACGCTTGCATTGAATTCTAATTATTATATATTGATTTTAAGTTATTCATCATCATCATTACAGTCCTTCACAAGTCCACTGCTGAACATAGGCCTGCCCCAAGGAATGCCACAAAGCACGGTCCTGAGCCACCTGCATCCATCGACTTCCTGCATATCTTACCAGGTCGTCACTCCATATAGTGGGACGACGCCCTACACTTCGTCCGCCGGTACGAGGCCACCACTCGAGAACCTTTTTTCCCCATCGGTTGTCGGTTCTTCGAGCTATATGGCCGGCCCATTGCCACTTCAGCTTACTAATCCGTTGGGCTATGCCGGTCACTCTGGTTCTACTGCGGATATCCTCATTTCTGACTTTATCACGCAGAGAAACTCCGAGCATAGCCCTCTCCATAGCTCGCTGAGCGACCTTGAGCTTCCTCATCCGGCCAACAGTGAAGGACCACGTCTCAGTTCCGTATGTCATCACTGGCAACACGCACTGGGTGTACAGTCTCGTTTTCAAGTTTTGAGCTATACCTGACGAGAAGATGTGCCGTAATTTCCCGAACGCTGCCCAGCCGAGTTGAACCCGTCGATTGACCTCTCAGTCGAAATTGGACTTACCTAGTCGGACTATTTGTCCCACTTAAACATACTCGTCAACAACTTCGAGCTTAGTGCTCCCGACAAATACCGGCATAGGTGTGACATGGACATTAAACATGATCTTTCTTTGGTCCATGTTTAACTTAATACCTATCCGTTGGGAAACACTATCGAGGTCATTGAGCATAGTGCTTAGGTCCTCCAGCGATTCTGCCATAAGGACTATATCGTCGGCAAATCGAAGGTGAGTGATGTACTCATCATTGATGTTAATACCGTATACTTTCCAGTCCAGAAGCTTGAAAACGTCTTCCAATGCAGCGGTGAAGAGT